TATTAACTGAAAAGCTCTTCTTTGTTATCTTCGGACCCATTGATCTTGTTTTGCGTAGCGACGAATTATACTTTGTCTTTGCTTCGGTAGATCTTTTTTCAGCTACCGGTACCCTGCTCCGCCTCATTATTTACAATTGTTATTATTTACAGTATTATTATCTACAAAATTTCTACTCTAAGGTTAAAACTCTAAGGAAAAAGAAATTGACAATTCGCTAAAAACAATTTTTCTTAAACTCTTGAAAACTTTTATGTGTTAGGTTAGGATAGGGAATGTGTTGTTATAATTGGTTACTTCAACCTAACTTAGTACTTTTGTAGTACCCCCTTCCTAATATTGTTCCAAGACTTTCTCTCTACCGTCCCAAGACTATTCAGTGTTGTCCCAGTACTTCTTGTTGGTATCTTCAGACCAATGTCCCAAGACCAACGTCCCTAGACCAACGTCCCAAGACTAACGTCCCAAGACCAACGTCCCAAGACTAATGTCCCAAGACCAATGGCCCAAGACCAACGTCCCAAGACCAACGTCCCAAGACTAATGTCCCAAGACCAATGGCCCAAGACCAACGTCCCAAGACTAATGTCCCAAGACCAATGGCCCAAGACCAACGTCCCAAGACTAATGTCCCAAGACCAATGGCCCAAGACCAACGTCCCAAGACTAATGTCCCAAGACCAATGGCCCAAGACCAACGTCCCAAGACTAATGTCCCAAGACTAACGTCCCAAGACCAATGGCCCAAGACCAACGTCCCAAGACTATTGTCCCAAGACCAACGTCCCAGGACTAACGTCCCAAGACCAATGGCCCAAGACTGTTTCGTACCAAGACTGCTCTGGTCCAAGACTGCCCCAAGGCTGCACTGTCCCAAGACTGTGTTGCCCCAAGACTGTCCCCAGACTGCAATGTCCCAAGACTTCTTCGGTACTGTCCCAAGACTATTCACTGAGTGTCTGGATATCGGATCTCTTTCTTCTTCGTTGTAGGGACTTCTTGATTCACTGTACCTTGTACCACCACTCAAGCTCTTGTGAAAATTTTCCCAAAAACCCTCTCTTGATGGCCAAATGCTGACCCCCCTTTTTTAGTTACCTCTTTTTCAATGTTCCCAGCAATTGAAAGCCAAAACTTGTGAGCAGGTATCTTGTGATCACCTGTTTGTATAAAAACCAATTGCAAATCTTCACCAAAATAAAACAATATAAAAAAAATTTTAAGCCAGAAAAAATAATAAAACACAGAAATCAACCCACCTAAAATTCAAAGGAGACAAATGTCGACCTTCTGTCGAAAAAAATGTCTGGTACCTAACTGCCACGCGTTTTCCTCCCCCCACTAGCGATCTTATGGGGTATCACAAAAACTGTCTATATCCGTTCCCCCCTACCAATCCAACCAGCGTACCAATCTTAACTCGAGTTAAATTTTGGATATCCACCTATTATTACCAACGCGTGTTGATGGCTAATGTAACTAAATCAACGATGTCGATTAATTCGTTACTCTAATTTCCCCCCTTTTTACAATTTACAACCGCCAACCTCTAACCTAACCAGCCCCCCTACTAACCTCCCCCCTCTTTAGCCCCCCTCTTAAGCCGCAAAATCCCTTAAGCGCCGGGTGCTAAACCTCTCGAGAGAAAACCGTAGACCTGTTTCCAGGCCTGCTTGAGTAAAAACTGCCTCAAAACAATGGGACTCCGCTTATCCAATTTTACACTTATTTCCTGTAATGTAATGTGGATTCTAACGATACCCGTTGCTCGACTTGAGAACACCCCTGTGCGTCCTCTTGTAGTGGTCCTGTGCTGGTTGTCTCTGTTCTGCACTTGACAGCAGAACCACTTTCCCACTCGACTGGTCACCTCTTCCAATCAAGTCTCCTAGTGGTCCGTTTCGATCCTTGTGAACCAGTTTCCCACTCGACTGGTCACCCTTTCCAGTCAAGTCTCCTAGTGGTCCGGTTCGATCCTTGTGAACCACTTTCCCACTCGACTGGTCACCCTTTCCAGTCAAGTCTCCTAGTGGTCCGGTTGGGTCGCAATCTATCTGAAAACCCTTAACAACGCCCCCCACTCGGGCACCTTACTGAAGTCACTGGTTTAAATTGCTAGATTGATCGAAACGATCGGTCTTATAAAACAGTATGTGTATACTATTTAATTAATACAAAGGTTTGATCCAACTAATTTGGTATCAAAGTCACTGTCTTTTTTCGTTTTATGGTTTTTGTTCCTTTTTGTATTCTTTTTTGCTCGTGTTTTTGTCCCCCTAGTTGCCCCCCTTCACTCGGTTAGCTAAGCCTCGTTCGGAGAGCGTACCAGGAAGTTTTCTTGAGTTTTCTTAAAAAGCTATCACGGTACAACCGGAAGGTTTACACGTTCCCGCTGAACCGTACCACCGGTACTCTAGAATGGGCATGTAGCCCGGAGCTGTGTCAAGTGGGTTCAACTCCGTAGTCATGATGTCATAAAAACACCTAGGAGCGCCATAAAAACACTATGTAACAGTCGCCTACTTTAGTCACATATGAGGCTTAAGAAAAATAGGCCCTATAACCATTGGCTCAAGAGTCAGGGACACTATCTCTTGTGTTTTTCTACCTCAAGAACGGTCGGAGCCAATTCGGTTCGCTTGCGACATGAGACTAGAACCCGTTACAGCTTAAAAGCCACTACCAAAATACCCCCCCCCCCCCACTCTAGAAGTAAGAACGTCCCCATACTTAGGTCTCGAAATACCCAAAATACATGAACGCCGTTAAAAACCGGTTCGGAACAATCCGCTTAGTTACTTTTTATTGGACAGTGGAACTTTGATCCATTTCAGATGGATCAACCTAAAACTCGCCTTATCTCAACATAACTATCATAAAATACACTCGAGAAATTTAAATTGAGAACTCACATGTCTATGCGCTTGAGTATGAGGAGTAATTAAAAGATAAGCAGCTCGAGAATTAAATGATATAACTAAATAAGTTTGATGCTAAGTAGTTTTAACAACAGAAGTAAGTTTTGTCTCAAGAATCAAAGTTTCTGTATGAACCATCGGGACACTCGAGTTGTCCTCTCTTCCATTGAATGTTCACTCTGTCCCGTTCGAATAATTGTCCTTTCTCAAGTCTGTGTTCTATCCTCTTGTTTTCGGGATAAGACAGCTCTACTCTTTTATTATTTCGTATCGGGAAATTTCAGAATGTTTTTAAGGTCCCGGAGTACTACCTTATATCGTCGGCTAAATTCCCATCATCTAAATACCAGATGTTAATTTTCGACTGCAACTGTTTGACTAGTGTATGAATTGCTTCCGCAAAAAGGGGTGGGGCTTCAGGATCACCTTGCTGAGTTCCGTCTTCTGACATTATGACAGAGCTTCCGTAAAAAAGGTAACTAGGTTTACCATACGCGCAATGGGTGTAATTATACAATTCGGGGCGATTTGAAAAAACACGATACAGCATTGTTTCTCTGTTTAAAGAGTTAAAGGCATTCTTAAAATCTAGTTTTAAAAGAACAGTACATTTTGGATTGTCGTCGCGTTCAATTAGGTTTCGAAACGAGTGCGCAGATATTTCTGCTCCTCATTTGGTACCGCATCCTACCTGTACGTTTCCGAAAAAATTTTGTCGCTCGGAGAGGGCCTTGCTTCTAGCGCATTTAGACGCGATACGTCTCAGCGTGTTGCCTATGGCAATCGGTCTCAACCCTTCGTCTATTTTTATGAGGGCGATAAGCTTTGCGCCAAAAAAGAAAGGTCTTAGTGGTTCCGGTATTTTGCCATCTCCAATGAGGTTTATCAGCTTAGTAAGCGATTTCAGAAAATTAAGTCCTGCACTGCCATTCGACTTACTAACAAGATCTTTAAAAATTTGAGGAAATATTTTATCAGGACCTGCTGCTGATCCGTTTGGAAAGGACATTATCGCTTTGTATAGGTCGAAATCGGTTACGAAAAAACTATCCAACTTTTCTGGATTTGGAGCTGCAAATTTGGCTCGCTGCGGGTGCTTAGACAACAATTTTTGATAGTTATCAGTTGAAAAAGGAGCTATTTTGTCATCCGAAGCAGCAAGCCTTATTCCTCCCTTTACATTTCCTTCATCGAGCCTACTACTTATTAACTTTATTCTCTGCTCGAGGTCACTCAGAGGCGGGCTTGAAACTTGGGGATGGGGTTTTGGAAGTGACACGTCATTTGCTCGAATTTTTTTATTTATCAAAGAGCTCATGCTTGTGGTCTGTTTGCGTCCACTTCTTTTCGGTTGCTCCAAAAAAACAAGAAAGACAATAAAAAAATTAGCCATTTTGTAACATCTTCTACATTGTAGACGATGTCATTTATTTTGTCCGACAGACTTTCCGCCAAGGGAACACGCGAGTCTTTTGGTACTCTCTTGAGTACTCGGACATTTGAGATGGCTGTATTAACATAATTATCTAGCACTAAATCATTACCTATTGTCGCTTTATTAACAGATTTTACATCAACGCATAAAGGACACTGAAACCATTGGGTTTTCTTAGAGTCGCTAAGAGAAATATTTACACAACTGATATGATACCAACTAGAACAACAATCACATCTAATCCAATTTATCAGTCCTGAAGGTTTTAAGCAATCTTTGCTTGTACACTCTTTGTTGTTTTTCCTCATCTTGACGCAGCATAAAGGTAAAAAAAAAGGATTTTGACTGGACTTTAGGGGACTGAACTAACCCATGATAAGCGGTTAGTGGGAATTTTACAAATCAGCAAATAAAAAAAAGACAACTAAATTAATTTAAAAGGTTAAAAGGTTAAAAGGCAGCATAAAGGTTAAAAATCAAAAACAAGGAACAATCTCACCCGAGCTCAGTAGGTCCAGCGGCGCACCACCAGACTCCTCAAGGCAGTTCCAGTTCCCCACCTCCCCACAGAAAGCCACTTGACAGACCTGTCTCTAAAATCCCTCAGAGGGCGCTCCACATACAGGCACAAACATCAAACATAACAAATCTATTTAATAAGTTTATCACAACAATTAGGCTAAAAGGTGAAAAGCATGTAGATTCAACAGATTCGAAATTTTAGCAGCTGACCTTCCGATTTGGCGGTTTTGGGAGATTGACAGCGTGATTGGGACGATTGGTCAAACGGTGAAGGTCAAGATAATCTGGTATTTTGAAATTTTAAAGATTCGAAGTGACGACGTAATAATTCTGAGAAGCGTCAAGGGCGGCCATTTTGGAAGGGGGCCAGAATGAAAACACAACAACATTAGTTGCGATAGCGATAATGACGAGAATTGTGATTGGAAAACAACAACAAATTGCAGAAGTAGCAGAGACCGTTCCGAGTTGCAACTATTGTGTCGCTACAATAGTTGCAAGGCCGTTGCGAACAACGGTGAAGGGTGGAAGACAGCCTTCCGGAAGGAAGATGAGGGTCTCATTTCCCTGGATTCAAGAATCCGGAGGGGTCTCGGGACTGAAACTCTTAGCATTTCATACAAACTTTTAGCTTCCCTATTATGTCCTGAATTAAATTTATTTAACATCTGAATTCATTTTGCTAGGATGAGAAGCTAGGAGTTGTGGGAAAAGGGTTGATCCATCTTCGATGGAGATGATGATTTTTATCTACTGAACAAGAACAATAATGATTCAATAAATAGTTCTAGCCCTGTTTTTAGGAGTGACCTCGTGGTCTGTGGATATTGAGACCCAGCCATGAGCTCACTATTTCTGCATGTAATCTAGTTAATTAGAGTGTTTTGACCGAAGCCGAAAGCAGTAACGTTTTTGTCGACCCGATGTTAGAAAGAACATCAAAAGAACTGGCTTGGTAGAGACGGTGAAAAGCATGTAGAGCTCTGTTTGGACGTTGGCTAGTCGTCTTAGCTTTATTTTCCGTCGATATGTATCTTCCGGGCGAATGTTACATAGATGTTTTTAAGGCGTTCCTGGGTGTTATTCTTTTTTAACATCATGACCGGCAGAACCGTTAACGAGCACTCCGCGCCGAGCGGATGCTCACATTAATGCCTGTAACATTCGCCCAAATACTACACAGCGACGGAGCGTAGAAAAAGTACCTATTAACGACTGGCAGGCGTCAGTTACCTTAATCCTACTCATTTTTCACCGTCTCGACCTTGCCAGTTGATTTTCTGGTCTGTTTAGGGCTAAGTAAAAAGTTTTGGCCATCAGTCAAACGACTTTTGATCAGCTTTCGTTTACATTCGAACACAACCACATAGCTGAGTCTCGGATCCTCAGACTACGTGATTGTCATTAAAAACACGGCTCGAACAACCTATTTTAACATGTTTTTGTGTGACAGTTCTATATTAAATCCATTGGAGATGGATTGACCCATTCCTCTTTCTAGCTACTCATATTCTAAAATATCAAACTATACCGGTGTTAATTTAAAGTTTCACGACATCCAAGTAGCTATACAGTCAGTCTTAAACAGTCCCTTCACATAAGACAGTCTCTGGGGGACCAAGTCTCTGCTCCCGTAATCTTCCTGAGATAACGCTCTTATCTCTTCCAATTTGTGTCCCGGGAGGGTTCTGTGGAATATTCCTTCCCCACTGAAGCTTCCTTCTCCACTAATATCCGCTGATAAGGGTCTTATCGTGCGTTTTTGCCACGATAAGAGGCTTCGTGTTTTCCGTCTCTTGTGCGACCGTTTTTCACAATATTTGGCGTTGTTCTGATTTTTCGTCGTTTTACGTCAAATCGGCCGTCTTTTTGTTTTTCTGAGAAATATTCCCCTTCCGATCGAAATTTTGAAAATAAAAATTCCAGAATATTCCTACCTTCCTTCGCAATCCTTTTTCGTTAATAAGGCCTTTATTCGTTTTTTCTCGTGTCGCCGAAAGGTTGCGCTGTGTCATCTGGCAGAATGGCACATACTCCCCGCACAAGTCCCCATCAATGTCCATATTGATCGCATAACACCGGGTTATCGTCAAGTAGTGTTCCAGTTTTCTGTAATCAATCTTACAAATCGCATAAGAAAATGAAATTTATCTACTCCACCTCATTTCACTGCCTTTCAACATTTTTACAAAATTTGCACCATGAGGACTGTCCTAGATAAAATTTCTTTTCTGACTACTTACGTCGTCTTGCCATAAAATTTCTTTTCGCTCTTTGTGATTAAAAAGTTGGGACGTGGCACGGCCACGCACCCGTTAAAATTAACTTAAGATTACTCACCAATTATAATCAGTTATTTATGCGGTCCTTTCAATATTAAAACTAAGAAACTCTGTGGCTAGGAAAATTATTGAGTTACCCACCCTTCTCGAGCGAGTTTACTCAAACTTACCATGTCGCCACACAGTGAAATTGTGTCTTACACAGGTTAAAAACTTCAATCGTGTTTAAATAGGTAAATATACTCACCTATGTTCTATATATGTATATACATAAATAGTCATAACTAAAATCAACAATTTCAACAATTTTAGCAATTGCAACATTGTAGTTTGATCTGACCAAACTAGATCAAAACAAAAAGTTTAACAAGTTCAATAATCAAAACTTGGTTGATTGGTTTAAGTTTTAACACACAAAGACAATCAAGTTTTTTTCTCCTTCTTCTCTCTTCTTTGTTCGTAATCTTCACTCCATCGCTTCTCCATCCTGATCTTCAGCTTCGCTGTCTTCTAATACCTTCTCCAGCATGTCCATGGAGTTGCGGGCCGTGCCCCAACTCTCCCGTTCCAACAGCCTCGGTTTGCAACAAGGTAGCAAGTCAACATTAACCTTTTGCTCCCGGTTCCTGCAAAAGCTGTTGTGAAGACATAGGCTCACATTTCGTTCTAGGTCAGCTCTTAAGACCTCTTTCTTCTCATCTTCAGTTACACAAGGCGCTCCAGCTACCCGCTTCACCGCCGTGGTGACCGCGTTTCTGTGCGTCAGGAATGCTCTCTTACAGGCTCCCGGTCCTATATCTAACTGGAAAGATTGATAGGCTTCCGTGTTCCTCGACATGTGACGCTTCGCGCGTTCATGCATCCATGATGTCATCACTGCACGGAACCAAGGCATCAATCTTTGCCTTGACCATATTCTTTCAATGGCTTTAGGTATCCTCAGAACCTTGCAGGTGGTTCTGAAAAGATCCAATTCACGACTCATTTTTACGTTGCTCAGCTGTTCAGGAGTCGGCACGGCCGTCTCCTGCTGACTTGTGTCCGCGTTAGCCTCCAACCATCTCACTGCTAGCATGGCGCTAACCACCACGATTGACACTTGTTGATTCTGATCGGGCAACCCCGTGGAGTACAACTCCTCCACGTCCCATATTAGCATCAGATTCCCGCGTTTGTGGTACCATAACGTCTGCGCCAAGCAGTGGCAAGGATACTACCCATGGGTTCTCACTATGTTCCTTCGGCTCCGATACCCTGAGGCTCCCAGCAACGGTTCCACCTCCATCATAATTCTGTGTAAATCGTCTTTCTCTTCTATGGTGGGGAATTCAGTGGGTAACACTCCACTCGCTTTCTGCTTTTGGAACTCGCTCACATTACCTTCGTTCAATGTCAGGAACTCTTCACCCACCATGTCTTGCAACTCGCCTTCAGATCTCTTCGGGACTGCCCGAAAGATCTTCGCCAACAAATCATATGACCTCTCCGACATTCTGGCCAACCTCACGCACTTTGGCACAGAGAAAAGTTGGTCAATCAACACCTGCTGTGTCCTCGCATCCATCACCACCATGTGTCTAGGATATCTACTACTGCAATATGGTGCGGAGCTTGAACCCACCAGATATTTTGAACCAGTCGGTTTATGATAGGCCTCACTATCTTTCAGATTCATCTCGTTCTCCAGAGTTCTCTCCAGCCTCCGATCTTCTGCTCCGTCTGCAATGCTCCAGGGAATACTTCCACGCTGAGGAACGTCACTAGCTCATGGGCACGCTCCAGGCGCTCGAGCGATTCTATCGAACTCGTCATGCTACAAAATCCCAAGGCTGTGATCAAATTTACATCCGTCACCCCATGACAGTCCGCGACCAACTCCATACCACTCTTATCCGACATGCTCAATCTTCGGTACAATCGTGCCAGTTGCCGATGCTGCTCGCTCAGCGTAACCAGGCAGTGTCCCAGGTTACAAACATGTCCTTCCATCCCACTATGTTGAGCCAAGCATGTGCCTTGCTTCAACCAATTGCTCGATGGACCTTTCTCGGACAGCTCCGTCGATGGGTTGCTCGTCCGCTTCGTCAACCTCATGGCCAGCAGATGATGTATCATGGCCAGATCATGCAAACTCGCGTCATCGTTCAGGTCTAACGTGATATCTGCGTCATGTCCCAGATTAAACCGGCGTTAGGATGAGGACACCACGAAGGCTTCATGAGTTCCCACATCGTTACTAGACTGGTTTTCAAGGGGCCGTCCCAAGAACCACAATCAAAACTCACTTGCCCCTTTATCTCGGGAACCGAGAGTTCGACCACTCGTTCTTCCAAGATAATTCCCAGCTTGGGTTGTTCCATCATCCGCATTCCAGTTTCTTTCATTCGTTCAACCCAGAAATTGAGTACTATGACTTGCTCATAGTCGAAGTACGCTTCCCTGGCTTCTTCATTCACGAAGGGATTGTACGCCATCCCCGGTATGCCAGGCACATATTGGAACGACTTCAGTCTCCCTAGTGTTGCAAAGTCTTTTTGTCCTTTGACTGCTTCAATCAACTCCCGGCTCACTTTCAATTCTTTGTTGGAATATCTTCTCACTTCTTCCAACTTGCGATAGCTCTCCATGTCATTCGACTCCTTATTTGGTACAGCCAACGGCATGTCCTGATATAGTTCTAGGAGTGCCCTAAGGAAGTTCCTTTCGCAATCAACTCCCTTTTGCCGAATGATCTTTATACATTCTCCCAAAACAGGAGTGGGGATACGATCCACCACGAACCTGACAAAGCAAAGGGCATCCTTACACTTAGCCCATGCTATCGCAGAATCGTCTTTTGAAATCAACGCTCGCAGAGCTTCCATCAACTCCAGCT